TGGCCCCACAAGGGGGCCGGCGGATGTATATATATATAATATATATATATATATATATATATATATCGCACACCTCCCACGACGAGGAATGAGGCGTGCACGGGGGGGGGAAGGGGGGAACGGGCGGGCGGGCGAGAATGGAGTTGGAAAGGCCAGAGCGGGAGATCCTGGAAGGCCTGCAGGGCCACGTCACCTGGCCCCCCTCGTCCACGCAGGGGCCTCGGGCCACGACGCGCAGCCCCCTCGTCGTTCCTGGGACCCCCACCTGGGTGAGCGTCAGTGCCCCCCCCCACCTCTCTCGCGGGAGGGCGGGAGCAGCGACGGGAGGGCAGAGGGGCGCGCGGAGAAGAAGCGGCGGAGAGTGGAACTCAAAGGCTAGTGGCTCCTCCCCTCACCCAGCTATTCGCGCGTCCGGCCTTTCATCCACCCGCCCTGCACGCCCATGAATTGAATTTCTGTTCCCACTCAGCATCAGTATCATCATCAGTAGCAGTAGCAGTAGCAACAGCACCATAATCATCATTGTCATCATCATCATCATCAGCATCATCAGCATCACCATCATCATAACCAGCATCATCATCAGCATAATCAACATCATCAGCACCTTCATCATTGTCATCATCAACATCATCATCGTCATCATTATCACCAGCCTAAACATCAACATCATCAGTAGCATCATCAGCATCGTCGTCATCATCAGTATCATCATCATCAGCATCATCCCAATCATCAGCATCATTATCAGCATGATCAGCATTGTCCTCATCATCGTCGTGCTCGTTATCGTCGTCGTCGTTTGTTTCGGCGTTGGCGTCCGCGTCGTTGATGTCGTCATCCTCATCCTAATCGTTACCATCACCATCATCATTCCCGTCATCCTGCTTATCATCATCATAATCATGGTAACAATCAGAACCATCATTCTCATAATCGAAATCTTAATCATGAAGAGCATCATCAGTATCAGCGTCATGATCGTCACAATCGTCACAATCATCATCGTTACCGTCTTTGTCGTCGTCACCATCATCATCATCACCATTATCATCCTCATCGAATTCAGTGCCATTTTCGTCGGATGTCATCGTTCGATGACTTGACGATCGTCAGCATCATCGTCATCGTCGTCGGATATCATCGCCCTTCTCATCTGCATCGTCCTTATCATGGTCATCGTCATTGCCATCACCCGTGTCACGGATTTGGTGCGTCACCTTTGCCACGGACCAGGTGCATTATTGATTCGGAGGGTCAGCACCACCAGGGGAAGTATGCATCCGTTTAATCATGATTCCTACGAGTTAAGACTTGCAGTATGATGGGCAGCACTTCCACGAGCTGCGACTTAGATGCCAGTTCCTCGACGGAAAGGCTAAATCGAATTCACCCGGTACTAGCTGCATGCCGTGGCCGAGCATTGCGGGCTACAGGAGGCCAACGTCCAGCAGCACAACTCCGACAAACATCGGGCGTGGCACGACGGCTAAAAGCAGCGCGACAACAGCAAGTCTTCCAAGACACGACATTGGCATCTGCTCTTGAGTGCATGGGGTGGCGCTCGGGCCACGCACACTGTGCTCAGCATCGAGGACCTCTCTCTGGTGCATTGGTCTTGGAGTGCCCTCTCTGGGAGTGCCTTATGGGGTGGTGTCCGGGCCACTCACTAGTGCATCGTGTTCACTTACACTGGGTTCGCCTCCCGAGTTTGGCCACTGAGGCCATACGCCGCTGCGCCTGCGCCATGAGGCTCGCTTGCCCCTTCCCCTCTCCTGGGCCTGCCTCCCCTCCTCCCCCGTGTGAGTTCGCCTTCTCCTCCTGTGCTGACCGGTCGTGCGTGAACTCATGAACACCGTGCAGGCGGGCTCCGTGCGCAGCTCGGGGCGCCCGCCAGCTCAGAAGCCTCTGCCCCTGCGGTCCGCGGGAGGCGACGCCTTGCCAGAGGGTTCGGTGCGCCACGAACGTCCAACAAATACACCCGCATTCATAAGCGTTCCCTGCTCCCGACCGTGACGGTCGATACTGTTCGAATGCGGAGGCCCGCCAGTGGATGGAGCCCCCGGCTGTGACCTGGCGCCCATTCGAGCTTTTCTCTCCTGCGCTCCGTTCTCTTCTCTTGGCCCTTTGCTCCTTCTCGTCCTCCTCCTCCCTCCCGTGCTGTTGCGGTTTCGCTCTCGAGCCTGTGCACGTCGTGCAGGTGCGGCGCGCGGCGGCCGATTCTGGCAACCACGCTGCTCCTCCCCGCCTCTGTCCTCTCTTTCTCCCCCTCCCCCATTCCCCCCCCCTGGCTGCCGTTGTGCGGGTCGTACAGATAACCAACCTTGCAATTGGGGCTCCCGCCCACAGCGCCCTGGTCTCTTTTCCTGGCCCGCTTCCTCCACCGTTGCTCCTGTTGCCCACATCCTCGACGGATCGCTTGGGGAGGAGGAGCCACGGGCTTCAGGCTTGCTTAGGGCTGTCGTGGGGGGGACGATTTGCAGAGGCAGTTCTTGTCCTTTCGCTGTGCTGGCTGAGGCGTGACAGCACATGGTGGGGTTTATGTTCTCCGCGAGGAAACATGTTGTCATCGTCATCGTCATTATCATCATCATCCTCCGCATCATTATCCTTGTAATCATCATCATCATCATCATCGTCATCATCATCAGCATCATCATCATCATTCGCATCATGATCATCGTCATCACCACCAGCATCATCTGCAGTATCACCATCACCGTCACCGTCACCATCATCATCATCATCATCATCATCATCATCATCATCATCATCATCATCATCCTCCTCCTCCTCATCATCATCATCATCATCATCAGTATCATCCTCAGCATCATCCTTCTCGTACTGATCGGCATCATCATCTTCATCCTGACCAGAATCGTCATCATCATCGGCATCCTCCTCATCATCATCATCATATCTATCACCACCACCAGTATCATCATGATCATCCTCATCACCGTCATCGTCGTTGTCATCATTCTCACCATGACCATCGTCGTCAGTATCAACATCAGCATCCTCATCGGCACCTTCAGGATCTTTGTCTTGTACCAACATGTTCATCATCAACGTCACCATTACCATCATTATCATTAGCATCATCACCATCACCATCATCACCATCAGTATCATAATTACCATCGCCGTCGTCAGCATCGTCATCATCATAACCATCAGCATCAGCAGCATCAGCATCATCATCACCATCACCATCGCCACCATCATCATCATCATCACCATCATCATAATCATCATCATTATCATCATCAGCATCATTATCACCACCATCATCATCATCATCATCATCATCATCATCATCATCATCATCATAATCATCATCATCATCATCATCATCATCATCGTCATCATCATCATCATCGTCACCATCACCATCACCATCACCATCACCATCATCATCCTAGCTCCCATTCAGCCCAGCATCCATATCCGGCTGCCTACGACGAGTTCCGCCACTGGAGGTGTCGTGGGCTTCTGTGTGGGCCCTTTTGGGGTACTCTTGGGACTCTTGGGCCCTCTTGGTGCCGCTTTAGGCTGTCGGGGGAGTCTGCTGTGACTGTTTGGGGGACTTCTGGGCCCTCCTGAGCCATCTTGGGGCCCTGTGGGGGTATCTTGGAGCCCTTGCTGGGCCCGTGGGGGCTCCCTCGGACTCCTCCAAGGCCCCTGTGGTGAACCATCTTGAGCCGGGAGGTTCGGGACAGGACAATTGCTCAAAGCCTAATTCTTCAGGTTGCAATCAACCTGCATAGCAAGGATGAGCGACTTTCCAAGGTTACCCATTGCATCCTTCCCTTTCGGCCCATCCTTGGCCGCTGTCGCTGGCCGCGCCCCGCTCGCAGAGTGTCGACATGGCCTTCCAGCGGCGCCCGTCATCCGTATCGTGCGTCCTCATTATACGGGTTGACTGTATTTGACGGGTTTGGCCTTCCCGGCGCTGGAGTTCCTTTGGCGCCTCGCGGTATCTTCTCCCTTGCCGTGGGATGCTCCTTGGGGCAGTGTTTGGCCATCTCGGCGGCCTCGGTGGCCCTCCGTGGCCGTCTTGGGAGCCTTGAAGGGTTGCCCCCCGGGAGCGCCGGCAAGTGCGAGCTGATGGGAGAATCGCCATGGGGGAAGCGGTTCCTGAGGCTCACCGAGCGCGTTCCACTCCTCGCAAAGTGCCTACTCGCAAACGTCCGAAAAAAGCGTGGCCTCCTCTGTGGAGTACATCGTAAATCCCCCACGGTGGATCCAGGCCATTTGCGGGCAGTGACTTTGCGAGTAGCGGAGCGCGCTTTTCCCCGAGGGAAGCGGGTCCTGGGGTCTTCCGTCCTTCTCGGGCTCCCGGGGCCCTCCACGGGCCCTGGGACTGTCAGAAAACGACTCGGGATGAGGAGGTGTTCCCGGGGGAAGCTCCCAGGGCCCAGGGCCCGTTCTCCCTCCGGACCCGTGCTGGTCAGAAGATGTACAGAAACTTTTCAGGGGGGAAAGGAACACGCAGGCAGGATTGATCGTCGATTCCCCAGAAGATATTGGAACATATGGGAAGTGGGGGGAAGACAAAAACCCAGGAAGTATCTGAAAATATGGGGAACTCTGTTATTTGTGTGTGTATTTATTTGTGTGTCCGTGGGCCCCTTCAACCTTGCCGCACAGCACTCGGAAGTACACCGAGCCTCAACGTGCAAGCGGGCATAGTGGTCGATTATTCCGTTGCGATGCCTCCGCTCCACGCTCGCCTCCGTATACGTTCCTTTTCCTCCTGTGGCACACTGGCGGCGGTCCGTCTCATGCTGCTCCGCTGCTGGGTCTGGAAGGTCACCCCTCGAAACCCGCATGCAGCCGAAGAGGGGAGCAGAGAAGGAGGAGTGAAGCCTTCATTGCTGTCTCTGTCCAACAGCACCCATCAGCGAAGCCGTGGCCGCACTCGCCAGTCTGACGAAGTCAGCCACGGTTTTGGCAGTGTCGCAGCGGCCAGCGGTTCAAATGACCGCTCAAAGCCAGCGCGCTCGACGAACCTCAACGAGGACGAGCAGGCAATGGTGAAAAAGTTCTCCCTGATCACCATGAAGAAGGCAGCCAGCTCATGCACCGTCGCTGTGGTGTCTACACCTGCCCTCCCTCCATTCTTCTCTTCCCAAACAGTCAAGAGCATTTCATTGACGGAAGGCAGAAAGGGTTGGATTGGGGGGTGGCGTCCATCTACGAGATGTGCGGGGCCATGGCTCTACAAGGGGGCCCTTCGCTCTTAAGGAGCCCGCTGCTCCCCTCGAAGGATACACCCCGAACCCTTGCCCTCGACGGATAGTAGGAGGCAGCCCTTCCTCCTTCTCTTCCTCCTCCTCCTCCTCCTCCTCCTCCTCTTCACTCTCTGGAAGCCTCTGGAGGCTTTTTGGACAATTGGCCGACACTTCCAATAACATCGTGACACATTCAAGGGCCGCGGCACGCGTGTGAAGTTCTCCATCCCCCATCCATACCCTGACCCCGAGTGCTCGCTGCAACATTGGGCGACCAGAGCGGGAGGGGGAGGAGGGGGGGTTGCGGAGGGGGGAGGAGGATGGAGGATGAGGTGGGAGGGAGTTGGAAGGAGGACGAGTGAAGGAGAAGACAGGAGGAGTAGGGGAGGCTGGGGAGGGGGAAGAGGCATGATGAGGATTGAGGAGGAGGAGGAGGAGGAGCAGCAGTAGCAGCAGTAGTAGCAGAAATAGCAGGAGGAGGATGCGGCTCGCTGCCGCCGGTGGCGCCGCAGCTTGCCCACCTGTGCTGATCCGCGCGCGCGGCCTCGGTCCTCCTCCCTTTTCTCCCCTCTCCTCCTCCTCTCTCCTCCTCCGCCCCGTTCTCCTCCTCCACCCCATCCTCCTCCTGCTCCTGGTTCCCACTGCTTCCTCGTCCTCCGACCCCCCCCCTCTGGAGGCGGCGCTGCCAGAGGGGAGCGCACGCCATTTGGCGGGAAATGCCAGACTTGTTCCTGAAGGGACTCTGCGATGAGGCGCGTGCTGTCTGAGAGGTGGTCGCACCTTCTGCTCCCCGCCCATTAGAGGGGGGAAATGCTGCTTGAGAGATGCTGCAAAATGCGCCTCCAAGCAAGATGGACCAGCATCCCGAAGGACGCGTTGGCTGGTTGACAAGAACTTCGCGACCAGCCTAAGTGATACCACAGCCGGGGGGGAATATTTCTAGATGCTTCGAATAACCCCACCAGCCCATCCAGAAACGATGCCCAGACGAGTTGCCTTGACCAGGGATTTGGAGGAGCATGCATTGGAATAAGGGGCTGGGTAAGACGTCGTACCCCAAAAGGGGGAGGATCGATGAGGAATCGTAGGAGGAAGCGGAGGAGGAGGAGGAGGAGGAGGAGGAGGAGGAGGAAATTGAGGAGGAGGAGGAGGAGGGGGGAGGAGGGGGGAGGGGGAGGGAGAGGGGGAGGGGGAGGGAGAGGGGGAGGGGGAGGAAGGAGAAGGAAGAAGGAGGAGGAGGAGGAACAGGCGGATGAGGAAGGGAAGGATGAGGAGGAGGAAAAGGAGGAGGGCGAGCACAAAGGCCAGATGCTTCTTGGATGCCTCTCGGAAGCTCTTCGGGTGTCGTTCAAGAACTGCGTCTTGAGGGTCTCTTGGCAGTCCCGGGGGCCTCTTGAGGCGTCTTGGGTGCCTCTGGGTGGCCTCTTGGGGGCTCTTGGGAGCCTCTTGGGGGCATCTTGGGGGCATCTTGTGGGCCCCTTGGAGCCTCCTGGGCATTTCTTGGGGCTCTCTTGGGGACCGCTTGGGAGCCTCGGGGGCCATCTTGGGGCCATCTTGGAGGAGATCGATCAAGGGAGGGCGCTCCTTAATTAGGGTCCCCCCAGGAGGTCAAACTGTGTCTCGGGGGGTCTCTTGGGAGCCTCCTGGGGGCATCTTGGGGGCCTCTTGGGGGCCTCTTGGGGCCTCCTGCACATCTCTTGGGGCCATCTTGGGGCACCCTTGGGAGCTTTGGGTGCCATCTTGGGGCCATCTTGGAAGATATCGATCAAAAGAGGGGGGCTCCTGCGTTCGGGCCCCCCTTCATGAGCTCAACATGTTACCACAGCCTTACTTAATTCAGTGATGTTGGCCTTCTCGCCGGGGCCCCTTGGGGCGCCTTGTGTGCCTCTGGGGGGCCTCTGTGGGGCCTCTTGGGGCCTCCAAGGCACCTGGGCCATCCTGGAGGAGATCGATCAAAGGACGAGGCGGTTCCAGTTAGCTTTGTCTTCCCAGGAGGCCATCATGTGGCCACAACCTTAGTTTCTTTGTGCCGTCGGCCTTGTCGCCGAGCCCTCTTGGGGCGTCTTGGGTGTCTCTGGAGGGACCTCTTAGGCCTCTTAGCTCTTGGGAGCCTCTTGGGGGCCTCATGGGGCCTCTTGTGCACCTCTTGGGGCCCTCTTGGGGAACCCTTGGGAGCCTCGGGGGCCTTCTTGGGGCAATCTTGGAGGAGATCGATCCAAGGAGGGAAGGCGAAGGGGTCAAGACACACGCACCCGCCCGCAAGCTGTCTCGCTCACGCCCGCCCGCCCTCCCAACACAGAATTAGCACCCGGGCCTCAGCATATTCAGCGGTCGTCTATGGATGGGTAGCTTCTGGGAACCGCCATAGATCCCTTGTGCGCGACGGGGAGATGTGCGCCACGCGTGCCAGGCGCTCCAGGTGCGCCAGTCACCCCTGGGGCCCAAGCGTGCCAGGCATGCCTCGCGCGCCACGCGCGCCACTTGCTCCACATGCGCCATGCGTGCCGCATGTTCCAGCTGCTCCAGGTGCGCCACGCCAAGGGCACGCGAAGAGTGTGCCAGCTGCACCCTCGCCCGTGACAACACACATCGGGTATCGTGTTGGCCCCCACATTCCTTGTCGAAAACCGGTACACAATCGCGGCCTTACGGTGGGGGCGTTGGTTTAGGCATGCGCCCAGGAGGCTGCAGACCCTGGAGGGTTCCGTATCTGATGAGGGCAGCGGTGATATCCATGGCCAAGCTTCGATTGGAGTTCCACGGGCCTCCAGACCTTGGATTCCTTATCTGAGGGTTCCTTATCCAATGCCCCCACCGTAGAGGCCATCATGGTGTCTAGTGGGCCTGCGCAAACCGGGCAATATTCCAGCACCCCCGTGGCCCTTGTCAAACACCAATGGACAGTGATCGCGGGGTGGCCGCGCATTACTGTCCGCGAATCTGTTTTTTTGACAGGGATGGCCGCGAATATGTTTTTTGACAGGGATGGCGGCCTTGCGCAAAGCAGGCAATATGAGGGCACCCCCGCCGGCCTGGAGAAAGCACAATGCAAAGTGCTCGCGGGGCCCACGATCATGACCCAAGAGTTGCCCCAAAGTGTGTGTGTGTTGTGTGTGTGTGTGTGTTTGTGTTTGTGTTTGTGTTTGTGTTTGTGTTTGTGTTTGTGTTTGTGTTTGTGTTTGTGTTTGTGTTTGTGTTTGTGTGTGTGTGTGTGTGTTTGTGTGCGTGCGTGCGTGCGTGCGTGCGTGCGTGCGTGCGTGCGTGCGCGCGCTCGCTCGCGCGTGCGTGCGTGCGTGCGTGCGTGCGTGCGTGCGTGTGTGTGTGTGTGTTTGTGTGTGTTCGTATTGCTTTTTGACACAAGGATGGTGGGGGGCACTGGTCCTGGTTGGGTGCCAGCCGCCTGGGGGAGGGGGCGTTTATTCAGATGGAAGAAGAGACTCCCTAAACCAATCACGCCATACAGGGTTGGTTGGGTTTCCCTGAGGGGGCAGTGGTATAACCCTTGCGGGAGGCAATGCAGCACCCCAGCGGGGCAGGGGATGAACCAGCACTGCCTGAGGCGAGAGAGGGAATGAAGGGGGAGCTGAAGCGAGAAAGTGCGGCGGATGGGGAAGAGGGGGGTAGGGGCGGGATGGAAGGGGAGCGGGGCGAGAGGAAGGGGGGGAAGGGGATGAAGGGGAGGGAAGGGCTGGGAGTCAAAGATGTCGCCTCATCAAGCAGAATCGTCTCCAGAATTGGGGTTCTCTTCCTCGTGGTGGTTGTGGTCGGTTGGAGGCGTTTCTCCTATTCGTTCCTTTTGACTTTCCCCGCACCGGTTGCTCTTAGGGGCCCGTCGGAGGCGAGAGGGTGAGATCGCAGTGGAACGGAGAGCCCCCCACCCGGAAATCCGTTTGGGTTTCGTGTTCGTGTCGCGCGTGCGGGCGAGGCGAAGCTTCGTGGGTGCGCGAGAGGACTGATGCCGCGGTGGCCAGGGGCTGTGGAGCTGGTTGTCCGCCCCCCCCCCCCCGGGCGCGCGGTGGCCAGGGGTGACCTGCCGGTGGCGCGGCGGTGTCCCGTCGGTGTCCCATCGGTGGCGCGGCGGGGTCCGGTCGGTGGCCTGGGGTGTCCCGTCCCTGGTGCGGGGTGTCCCGTCGGTGGCGCAGCGGTGAGATCGATCATGAGATCGATTGCGAGATCGATAGTGAGATTGGAAGAACGGTATTGGTCTGCTGTGAGATTGGTAGTGCGATCTGTCGTGAGATCTGTAGTGGGTTCGACAGTGAGGTCGACACTGAGATCGATCGTGAGATCGATTGTGAGATTGACTGTAATTTTGATAGTGGGATCGATGGTCAGATCGATTGTGAGATCGATCGTGAGACCGATAGTCGGAAGTGTTGTGAGATCGATAGCGAGTCCGAAAGTGAGATCGATTGTGAGATCGATTGTCAGATCGATTGCGAGATCGAGTGGGAGAGATCGATCGTGAGATTTGTAATGAGAACTGCTGTGAGATCGAGAGTGAGTCCGAGTGGGAGAAGGAAGTGAGATCGATTGTCAGAGTGATGGTGCGACCGATTGTGAGATCGATGGTGAGATCGCGTGTGAGATCGATCTTGGGTTCGATGGTCAAATCGATAATGAGATCGATAGTGCGATCGAAAGTGAGACCGATTGTGAGATCGATAGTGACATCTGTTGTAAGATCGAAATTGGGATCCATTGTGATATTGGTAGTGACATCTGCCGTGACATCGATACTGAGATCGATCGTGAGATCTATTGTGAGATCAATTGTAAGTCCGATAGTGATCGATGGTCAGGTTGATTGTAAGATCGATTGTGAGACCGATTGTGGGACCGATGGTACTATTAATGGTGAAATCGATTGTGAGATCGATAGTGGGACCAATAGTGGGAACTGTTGCGAGGTCGATAGCGAGTCCGAGAGTGAGATCGATGGTGAGATCGATTGTCAGATCGAATGGGAGATCGAGTGGGAGAGATCGATCGTGAGATCTGTTATGAGATCGATCGTGGGATCGATGGCGAGGTCGATAGAGAGAGATCGATAGTGAGACCTATAGTGATCGATTGTGAGATCGACATTGGGGCTGCTGTGATATCGATAATGAGACCGATTGCGAGATCGATAGTGAGACCTTTGGTGAGAGGGAGAGTTTGATCGATGTCAGGTCGATCGCACGAGACGTGGGTTCCCCCTCCCCACCCGAACCTCCATGTCACCATATCACCTCCATGTCACTCCTGCCTGTTCTCCTGAGCCGCTGGGGTGGCCGCCCCGCGGCTTCGCCACGTCGGCGCCCGTGCCCGCTCGCAGGCACCATCGTGGGAGGCCACGTGCGCCGGGTGGGTGCCTCGAGGTCTCGCCGCGCTGGCTTAAGCCGGGCCTGTCCCCCTGCAGGAGGGATTTTCCAGAATAGTCAAACAACTGGTCCGGGGACGACGTTTTTTTTTGTTCGAACAAGAAAGCTATTCTTGACCATTTCTTGGGAGTCTTTTGGGGGGTATTTGTTTTTGTTTTGCGCCCAAGATCCCCCTTGTAGGGGCGCAGGCCCGACGTAAGCGCTGGCGCCGCGTGCCCGCGCGTGGCCCCCCCCCTCGCGGCCTCCCCCGCGGGGGCGGCCCGTGCGCCGGGCGGGTGGCCCGACCGAGGGCCCCCTCCGCAGGGCCAGCACCGGGGCAGCTCTCGCACGCGCCGCGCGCAGCTCACGCCGCACGGCCTGCCCGCCCTCCCCACGTCTGGCAGCTTGGGCGCAGCGCGCGGAGCTCGCGCGCCGTGCAGCTCGCACAGCGAGCACCGATCACGCAGCACGCTTGCAGCAAGCATACATGTAGAGTGCACCGCGCCGCTCGCATCGCATAGCCCACGCCTCATCTCCTACGGTGCAGTAGCTTGTCGATTGTGGCCCACGCTGGCTGAGATGGTTCTCATGGTAGGCAGCGTGGAACCCAAACGGCAGCGTACTGCACTGTGGATGTGCACGCTATGTCGTGCAAGCTATGTGGTGCAAGCAATGTTCTGAGGTGATGCTGGCTGCAGGCCAGAGGCAGCAGGGAGGCGGCCACGGGCGGCAGCGCTGCGAAGACCCGCCAGGCACAACCACCGCACGAGGCTGCCACGTGGCGGCCACGGGCGGCAGCGTGGCGAAGCCTCGCTGGACCCGCCCATCGCACGGGGCGGCCACGGGGGCCGGCCGCGGGGCGGCAGCGTGGCGCAGCCTCGACGAAGCCAGCCAGCGCACGAGGCGGCAGCGAGACGGGCGGCAGCGTGGCGAGACCTCCAAGGAACCCAACCAGCGCACGAGGCGGCCACAGGGCGCCAACTGGCGGCCGCGGGCGGCAGCGGGGCGCGACCTCGCCGGACCCATCCCCCTGCGGAGTGGCACGAGCAGAAGCCCTGCAGTGAGAGCACTGCTTTTGGAGACTCTGGAGAAGATCGCCGCGGGATCGGCGCTCGAGGGCCTCGGGGGTCCGAACTATGAAGGGGCAGGGCGTGCGTGCGATCGGCCTCCTGGGCCTCCCTCTCCGTCTTCCTGGACACCGTCTCGCCGCATGCTCGCGTTCCCTTGGCACTCTTTTGTTCGCAGCGCCCCGGGACCCCCCGCAGAACCCCTGCGGCACTTCGGCTGCACCACTTGCCCGATAGTGCGGTTGATTCGCGACTCAGGCGTCATGCGGGGCGTTTCAAAAAGTGCCTCGCGTTCGAGGCATTTTGAGGGATGGAGAACTTGACAGACATTCCTCGGCGGAAGGCTGGCGGAAGTAAGCTGTAGGCGAGTCCGCCGGCAAATCCAGCGGAACCACAAGGAGCCCCCCCAAAGAGATGGCACTTTCGGGAGAGCGGAGCAGTGTCCCCAGACACAACGATATTTTTTTTAGTTTTCGAATCCGCGGCTCCAGAGCGTCGCTAACGCTGATGGCACAGTGATTCGCCACGGTGCCAATGTTTGATGGCCCCCTGGCCGAGATGCGTGGTCGGAGACCTGGGCTTCTGCAGCCTGCGATGTGGCTCACGCACCCAAGGTCACTCTTGCCTAGGGTTGAGTCGGGCGTGTCCCTCTACAGGGCGAATATTCAAACATAGGCAACAACACAGATGGGGACGATTCTCGATTATTTGATTGAGTATGTTTGATTTGTTGTTGGGTATGTTTAATTTGTCGTCCAAGCTCCGCCTGTGGGGGGCCCGGGGCGCCGTGCCGCCAGGTCTTGTACGCGGCGAACGTCGCGGAGGAGGACCTCGGCACAGGCGGGGCGCGGGGGTGCCCGCGGGGGGCGGCGCAGGTGCCTGCGCCCTCCACCCGCTGCTCCGTCTGCTCCGTGCTCTGCCCCAACCCCCTCTGGACCCAAACAGTGTTTGGGCGATTCCGTGGGCCGTTTTCGTTTCGACTTCGTTTTGCGGTAAGGGCGGATTGAAGACAAAGCGAGGGAAAACGAAAACAACACGAAAACGAAAAACACGTTCAGGTTCAGCCCGTCCTCCACCCTCGTCTGCTCCTCTGCACCCGTCGTGCCTGGCCGATTTCTATCGCCGGCTCGCTGCCCGCGCTCTCGTTCGTGGCCTGCCTGTCCGCCGTTCGTCCCCTCAGCTCTCCTCCTCGTCCCCCTCCTCCTCCTCCTCCACCTCCTCCTCCTCCTCCTCCTCCTACCTCCTCCTCCTCCTCCTCCTCCTCCTCCTCCTCCTCCTCCTCCTCCTCCTCCTCCTCCTCCTCCTCCTCCCCCTCCTCTCCTCCCCCTCCTCCTCCTCCTCCTCTCCTCCTCGTCCTCCTCCTCCTCCCCTCCTCCTCCGCTCCTCCTCCTCCTCCTCCTCCTCCTCCTCCTCCTCCTCCTCCTCCTCCTCCTCCTCCACTCCTCTTCCCCTCCTCCTCCTCCTCCTCTCCTCCTCCTCCTCCTCCTCCTCCTCCCTCCTCCTCCTCCTCCTCCTCCTCCTCCTCCTCCTCCTCCTCCTCCTCCTACCTCCTCTGCCTTCTCCTACTCTCTCTCCTTCTCCCCCAAACCACAAAGCTCAAAGCTCCGCCAGCTCCGTCCTCCCCCTCGTCGTAGACACCGCGGGCGCGAGCGCGAAGCGTCAGTCGAGATCGACCCTCTCCCCCGCGCCTCAGTGAAGCACCAGGCGCAGAGAGCGGCAAGAAGAGTGTGAAGCAATGGCACGCGACGGTGCCAGGGAGGACGCAAACGGACGAGAGGAGGCCATAGCACAATGGTCAGCATAACGCATATGTCGCCGCGCCGTTTGCTCCGACGCGCGGCCATCCACTTTGGGGAGGGCGCCGCGGCCACCAGGGCATGCCTCGGGCTGGGTGGGTTAGCCGTGAGGTCTGCCGCGGTTCGGCACGCAGGGTTTGCCATGGGTTTGCCGTGGTGTCGGCGTCGTCCACTAGGGCGCGTCGAGGACACACGGCGCGGCGACACGTGGTCCCCTCCCAACTCCCCACCTCCGCCATGCGGGGAGTGCCGGTCGCACGAGCATCCCGAGGGCAGGGCCGCGGCCGCGGCCGCGGCCCGCTCGGGGGCGGCCCGCGTGGACCGCGCCGAGGGCCGCGGGAGACCCCTGGGGGGGGGGCGGCGGTGATCGGGGCTCGAGGGACTGGGGTCGATGCAAACGGGGGTCAGCCAGGGCGCTGGATCTGGCAGGATCCCGCAGAGCCAGGGGTGCACGGGCCCGAGTCAGCGCGCAGGGTCCCGCAAGGCCCACCCCTGTCTGCATCGACTCGGGTCAGCAGATCCCCGAGGTGAGCAGACGCTTCCCCTACCATGTTGGAAGCGGGCCTTTCAGGGCGCGTTTGGGGCCCTTGCCAGTACCAAAAGATCCCTAAGGGGCCCCAATGTAGGCCACCCCCAACTACCACCCGCCCGAGTGAAGAGGCGGTCCTCGGAGAGTGGTCCAGGCTTCTGGGGATCCACGTCGCGAGAAAGCACGACGTCGGGTGTCTGGGAGCGTGGGGGGCGTCCCCCGGAGGGGGTGTAGGGCAGGTTCGTGTCGTGTCGCCGCGGCGGCGCGCCCGGCGCGAGAGTTCAAGGCGGAGCGCCGCCGCTGGCCCGGGGATAGGCTGGTGTCGAGCGATCTGCGCTGTCGGGAAGCCGTGGTCGCTCAAGGCTGCACGATCCGTGCGCAAGCAGCCCAGTACGTTTTTGGGGCAATTTCGTATCAGTCGCCTTTTGGTATCCTGCCCGCGACTCCCTCGAGACCAGAGCTTCTGAAGTTTTTGCTTTCACTGCAGTGTCGTCGAGTTCGCCTGGGTGCACTTCTTGGATAGCCCTCCTGAGGGGCATCGGGTTCCTCGCGCGAGTCGTCACAAGCCAATTCCGAAATCGTCACGGCACGAACCTGCCGTTGGGGGGAGGTGGCGTGCGCAACTGACCCAGGGCCAGACCTTTGGGGATCGACGTTGTGTGAAGATCACGACGTCGGGGGTCTGGGGATTCTCTTTTTTGTTGGTGCTTGCTCTCGGCCGAAGTGGCCGAGCGCGCCCAGCCCTCGCCGAGTCCAGCCGCCGTTGGGCGTGCCGATGGGCCTGGCCAGGCATTGACCGTGCCGTGGTCGAGCATCGTTTAAACGATCCCTCTCCCCGCTGGCGTGGCCTTGGCCCCACTGGCCGACTGACCCACCGAGGTGAGATAGGTGCCCGTGTCTAGGAGGGTAAGCTGGTTGGTCGGGCTGAGGTGCCATGTCCCAGTGGGATGGGGATACATCGGCGCTCCGAAAGTTTCTTCCATTTTTCGAAGCACGGCGCCGCGCGGATTCAACGCAGCCGCATGACTGCAATGTCGTTGAAATCAGGAAGTCGTACACGAGCCTCGCGGACGTGGACGGACACCGCGCTCGGGCGCGAACGCTAACAAATCTGGCGCGCGTTCCGGGCCACCGGGGGCAGAAAAAGAGATCCGCCGAAATAGGATTTTTTGACAGAAAACCTTCAGTGTGAGGCCAGCTGTCGGGGCCGTCGGACAGGACCCGAGAACATTTGTGCTGCACAAGTCCCACGCAAATTGCAGATTAGCCACTTTAGGACTGGCCGGTAACACTGTCACGTCGTCTTGGGAGCAAGCCAGGCTTTCAGAGGAGGTCCCACGCGGTTTGCCCATCTTCGGGTCCACACACCGCTTGGGAAAAACAACACGACAATCTGGAACCGACGCCCGATTCCGGCCCAGGGGGGTGGGGGGCTGGGTTCACATTGGACTGGGTCCGCGCGGCCAAACCTCCGCCCCTCCCTGCTCGCTCCCGCCCCTCCCTGCTAGCTCCCTGCTCGCTCCCGGCGGAAGCGGGCGCCGGTCTTGCGCCCGCTTCCGCCGCCCCTCCCTGCTCGCTCCCCGAGCAGCCCCCGCTGGTCATTTTCGACGTCGCGCTGGCCTGGATGAAGACGAGATGCACCGTGGCAGACTTGAGGAAGCTGTCGGATGGGCGCAGTAGGTACAAGTCGGGCCTGTCCCTCTGCAGTGGGAATATTCAAAAACAGTCGAAAAATGGTATGGGGAGGAGTTGTGGAGTATTTTCGAATATGTTTGGTGTGTGGTTTTTGGCGGCTCTGTTTGATTTTTCGTCAAAAATCCGCCTGTATAGGGGGACCTAACAGTTGGTTTGACGGTGCTCATTGGCTCCCATTATTTGCAGATTCGCTAGTCTTGTCTTCAGGGACAACTCACGGGGGGGGCCTTCCCAGCTCCGAGCGGAGGCGGTATCCAGATCCCCTTTGAGGCGCTTCCTCGCCTCTGTCGCTGCCCTCTTCGGTTCTGGGGCTCGACTGTCCTGGCTCGCCGTCTTCCGCTTTCCCCCCCCGGTTTTCCCGCCCACCACCCCCCTCTTTCCACCGTGGGGGCCCTGATGCCACCAAGAGGGGCCGTGAGGCCATGCCCGCCGCCTTCCAAGGCCCGCCCACCCATTCTGGGAGAGCGTACGGGGGGGGTGTTCGTTGAGGAGTGCGTCCAGGGGGCCTCAGAGCCTAGAGGATTCCCTGTCTGAGGAGGGCAGCGGTGGCATCCATGGCCAAGCCTGTTCCACAGGCTTCCAGGCCCTGGAGGCCCTCTCAGAGGGTTCCCTATCGACTGCCGCCACCGTAGTTTTCAACAATCAGCGGACGCCTGCCCGAGCGAAAGTTCACTTCCCCTTCCGGGCGCCACGCCCGAGGAGCCGAGCTTCGGCGGGATCGATGCGGAGGGGCGTTCGGGTGAGGGGGGAGGGTGACTAAGCATCGCTCGGACGTGTGCATTTTTCCTTCGGCGAGGACCATCGAGGAGCATCCTTGATCATGCGGCGAAAAAGCCATGCACAAAACCGACAAAAAAAATGGAATGGACGTCCGAGCGATGGCCAGGTGAAGACATGCAGTCGACGGACAAGTAAGCCATGTCCGAAGGAACTCTGAGGAGGAACAGGCACCCATACCTCTACCCTTTCCGTTCCCCTTTTTCGGGGGCCTCCTGGGAGGCCCTCGTCGCCACAGTTGGATTCGCCTCGAAATTTTGGTCAGAACGCACCCCGGGAGAGATCCGGGGAATAGCGGTATCGGTACCTTTTGACTTCCCCAGGAAAGGGGGGGCGTAACACCTCAGGGCGAGCGCTTGCGAGCGCCTTTGACCCTTTTTCCAATTTGGCCCCCACCCCGTGCATTTTACCATTTACCAACAGGGACCTGCTCTTGACCACGACTTGATTATCATCGCCCTCGTCCTCCAGCTCCCGCTCGGGGCGCCGATGCGTCGTGCCTGCGGCTAGGCGGGCCTCTGTTTGGCATTGGGGCTTCCCTCGTACGTTCGTCTCCTTCAGCTCCCGCTCCTCTGCCCACCTCTCCGCACTGCCGCCCGGCAAATAGTTCTTTCCCGTCGCACCACCAATCGTGTCTGTAGGCTGGCCCCGGGAGTTTCGATCGACCCTCCCTCCAAATTGTTGTATCCCGAAGCCTACAATGACCACTAGTTACGTACGCGGATGGATGTCACGCCATGTTCAAAATGTGGTTATCGCCTGAGCGTCGTGCACATTCGTATCAATTGCTTTGAGCTGTTACAAGGACGGGGCCAGGTACTTTTTCGAAATGTAGCTTTCGCTTTAGGTCCTCGTACATTCGTCTTAAACGTTAGCAGCATCTTCAAGAATGAAGAACGTGGTCCTCTCCCCATCGCCGCGTACTTTTTCATAAGAGAAGCAGCAATTACGAAGACGGTTGCTGGTGCGTTTCCGAACTGGGGCTCTCGTCTGCGACTCCCTCAACAGTAGAACCACGTATGCCAAATTGTGCAACCGTTACCCGTCTGGAGGGCGGCTTCTTTTGAACATGTCCTTCTCGCCATAGCGCCGCGCACATGTGTGCAGGTTGCGCAAGGGGTGGTCTCTCAACGCGGCCTCTATGCGTGCCAGGGTCGGAGAGCGTGGCAGGCGTTGTACTTTCTCGACACCATAGGGGGTGCGCAAGGGGTGGTCCCTCACCGTGGCCGCTATGCGCGCCGGTCGTCCAGGGCATAGCAGGCGCGGCATTTTCTCGACACCATTGGGGGTGCGCAGGGGGTGGTCCCTCAGCGCGGCCGCTATGCACGACGGTCGTCCAGTGCATAGGAGGCGTGGCATTTTCTCGACACCATAGGGGATGCGCAGGGGGTGGTCCCTCACCGCAGCTGGCATGCGCTCCCGTCTCGGGCTCGCAAAGCGTGGCAGGCGTGACACTTCCTCGACGCCACAAGGGGGTGCGCTGGGGGTACGGTCGCTATCCGTTTCGGGCTCGCAATGCGTGGCAGGCGCGGTATTATCTCGATGCCACAGGGGGTGCGCCAGGGGTGCGGTCGCTATCCGTTTCAGCTTCGCAAAGCGTGGCAGGCGTGGTACTTTCTCGACGCCACAAGGGGGTGCCTTTTGGGTGCGGTCGCTATCTGTGTCGGGCTCGCAAAGTGTGGCTGGCGCGGCGCTTCTCCTCTCCACCTCTCCTCTTTAGTGGCGTCACCAACGGTATCGGCGGGGCAACGGCCACCAACATCATTCTCACATGCTTCACTTCAGCTATCATCACTCCAGCCATAATATAAGTATGTGGGGTTCCTCGGTAGCGTAATTGGTTTTCTCGCCTTTTCGCTTCCGATTCGCTTCCGATGGCCATCCGAGGCTTCAGGATGGCTCCAAGATGGCCCCAGAGTGCTCCAAGAGCGCTCCCAAGTCTCACAAGAGGGCCCCAAGAGGCGCCCAGACGGCCCCAAGAGGCCTCCAAGAGGCCCCCAAGAGACCCCCAAGAGGCCCCCAAGAGACCACCAAGCGGCCCCAAGAAGCTCTCCGAGGCACCTCCGTAGCCAGTTTGGCTCAAGCACGCATGGCAAAGCTGGACAAGCTCTGTCTGTAGCATAGTGCCCGTGCTAAAACATGACCGAGTCAACGTGGTCAGGCACCAGAAGGCACCGCATTGGCAGCATCTCGCGGTATACAGAACGTTCGACAACCGATAATTTGGACCGACGTCACCGTACCGGATTCCAATCATGGGCTGATTCACCGGTCTCAACCAGGTCATTTGTAGAACAAGTTTCAAGTTCCGAAAGTGACAGTTCAGAGTCCGATCTTTTCAGGCTGAGGCATACGGAGTCCAACAGTGACATAGGCACACTTCATGGCTGCAACGTTTTCGAAGTGTTTGGAGTCACGAAGTTGGCGGAGTTGAACACTTCCTCGCGCTTCAGCATTCCTGGACGAATCCTTGTTGTAGCTTTGAGCAGCATGAGCTCAGCGTCCTTCTCGATCCATGGGCTGCTGGTTTCGCAGAGGTGGAGCCCGGGGTATGTTTTCCCACGGCCAGAATTTGAGATCGGGACCGCCGCATTTCTGGAGTGGTTGGAAAATGGCGCTGTGGCGTTCATTTACTTCGTGCTTGGCGTGATCTTCCCTATGCTGACGAGACATAAGCACGTTCAGTTGGAGCGGACGCTGAGCGTTGCAAACCGCTACAGCTGGGCAGAAGCTGAAGCGAATCTGATATCCCGTTATGCGAACATTTGTTTCTCCTATGTCGTGTGGTCGGCGACTTTCGTATTGGGCATGTTTGCGCCAGTACTGATTTGGCTGCCCCGATTGTACGGAGATGACATTACGGAGCAAATCCGGGTTTGCTTTTGGGTTGAGGTCAGCGTCTTCATTTGGTCCATCAGTATGCTCTTCATTGGACCTTCCAGGGTTGAAGAAATCGGAACAAAAGCCGTAGAAAGTGTTGTCGCAGGGGTCTGTAAGGAGTTGGACGACATGAGCACCGAGAGTATCAGGTGGGAAAGGGTACTGAGCATAGTCAAGGCGACCGATTACTTACTGGCGGACACATTCCAGTGGAGTTGCCTCGGGCGCTTGGTAGTCGTTCGTGTCTCCATGCTCTTCTCGCTCGCAGCGGGATTCGGCTGTGTCGGAATTGTCCACTACAATGAAGCCACTAGGAAGGGCGCAATGCTTTGCGGTGTGTTGTCAGCGGCTTGTGGCTGTACTGTTTTATACCGTTTAGGATGCATCAGCCGGAACTGCAGTAACACAAGGCCTGGATCATATGACCTTGCGGCAATTTTGATTCAGAAAATGGTTGAGCACACGACCGAAGAAGAGGATGAGGAATGCAGGGATGCTTTCCGCCAGCTATCGCTCTACCTCAGAGAACGGACGCTTGGTGTAGAGCTTTTGGGTACACGAATTACACCTACGCTGGTAGCAAACCTTGCATTGCGAACCTGCTTTTACATTCCGGCCGGGGTCGCTGTCATTGAAGGCATATGGAACAAGAAAGGTCAATATAGTGGTCACAGTCGAAATCCCAACGAACGTATGTGACTCCCGCGTTCTCTGGTTGCTCAAGTCCTTCCCGATCACGGCGGCGCAGGAAAATCATCATAACTTGCCGAAGAGGCACAATACACGACGGATATCAGCACGCAGTGGGGATTGGTGCAGATTCTGCCACACAGCGCATGACGTCATACTGCATGCCAGGCGATTTCTCTACACGGGTGTCCGTGTACCTGTTTCTCCGTCGCCTTCTACAGGTGCTGATTTTCTGAGTCGGCTTGTGTGGTCGGATGCCACCGCCGTTCTCTTTGACCCACCAGCGCTCTGGACTGCGATCGAAGACTCCTTTTTGTGGTTCGTTATTTGAAGGCCGCCGGGCCGCCGGGCAGTGGCTCGGGCGACTGCACAAGCTTATGCTTGTAAGGTTGTCGAACCGGGCTCATATATGATTATTTTTTCCTTACCTAGGCTCTGCCTAGAAGGGTTCTTACCCTGTGTGCTGAAAGGGCCGGGCAGTGGGCTTCGCCCCGGGCGGTTCCCCCAGGATCCGCCCCGCGGTTCCCCCAGTTACGTCCCCTTGGCTTGGCGTTGCTTATCTCATCTTAGCTTAGCTTATTTCATCTTAGCTTAGCTTAGCTTAGCTCCATCTTAGCTCAGGATTATCTTAGCTTAGCTTACCTTCATCTGAGCTTCGCTGAGCTTTGGCATAGCAGAGCACAACATAGCATAGCGTAGCATAGCATAGCGCAGCACAGCATATCATAGTATAGCCCAGCATAGCATAGCATAGCGCAGCATAGCATAGCATAGCGCAGCATAGTATAGCATAGCGCAGCATAGCAGAGCGTAGCGCAGCACAGCACAGCACAGCATAGCACAGCGCAGCATAGCATAGCATAGCAGAGCAGAGCATAGCATAGCATAGCAGCAAAGCAAAGGCAAAGCAACAGCAGCGACAGCAAAGCAACACACAAGCAACGCAAAGCAAAGCAAATAAACAGCAACATCAAAGCAAAGGAAAGGCAACGCATAGCATGACATAGCATAGCATAGCATAGCATAGCAACTAATGTTGTTGTCCTAGGGGCTCCAACTTCTAGGTAGGGTCGCACTGGGGTAATCTTATCGAATGGGGGGCCTGCGCACCAGGGCAGCCTCGGAAACTCGCGGGGCCCCGTGACAAGCTCTTATGTCCAGCAGCGTCGCCAGCTTGTTCGGGCAAACTTCACTGGCCTGCGTGCCAGCACGTTTCGCCTCCCTGGACTTTCACCTCAGACTGCCCCAAAGTCGGTGAGAGGTGGAACCTGGCTCGTAATTAAGATATCGTCCCCATTGTTTTTGTTTTCCTACAGTCCTTTCGTTCCTGGATTGGTTGGCTGACGTGAGAGCCACTGGAAAAAAAGAAGAAGCTCTCCGAGGCACCCAAGACGCTCTAAGAGGCGTCCAGGACCGCCAGCCCGCAAGACGCTCCAAGAGGCCTCCACTGGGGGACCCTTCCTTTGTGTGCTGCCCACTTCCCTGATCGAGGCAATTCCTCTGGGCATCGTTTCTAGATGGGCTGGTGGGGTTACGCGAAGCGTCTAGAATCTCTTGTCGATCTCCTCCTCGCGGCTACTGTCACCCCTCGCCCTCCACAAGTATTCATTATATGAATACTGCCCTCCTCTCTCCCTTGACTCTGAACGGAAGGAATCCCGCCCTCTGCTGGTATTGCGGGGGCTATACGGCCGGTGCCACCGACCCTGAAGGGGAACAATGAGGACGACAACGACGACACCGACGACGCCGACGGCGCCGACGACGACGACGACGACGACGACGACGACGACGACGACGACGACAACGGCGGCTGCGGCGACGTTGACGACGCAAACGTTGGCCAGAGTCCTCAGGGATGCTTGCGGTCTCTTCGGAAGGCTCTCGGGGGCCTCTGAGGAGGAATTCGTGGCCCTCTTGGGAGCCTCTTGGGGGCCTCTTGCGAGCCTCTTGGGGGCCTCTTCGGGCTTATTGGGGATCTCTTGTGGGCCTCTTGGGGCCTCTTGGGAACATCTTGGGGCCTCCTGGGAGCCGCTCGGGGCCGAGGACTCGAGATGTCCGGTCGGGCCCTCCCGCCTGGACACGCTTTTGGGGCCGCCTTGGGGGCCTCTTGGGCCGTCTTGCAGGCGCTGTGGGCTGCCTAGGGGTCCTCTTGGGCTGTTTGGGGGCCCTCTCGGAAGCCTCTTGGGGCTTCATTGGGCGGTCTTGGGCCTTTTGGCCCGTCTTGGAGAGGTAGGAAGAGGAAAAGGCGATACCACCCAAATCTTAAAAACAAAACGCAAGAAACAGAATTAAGTGTGCCTCGTGGGGCCCTCGTGTTCGTGTTCTTGGAGGCTTCTTGGGGCGTCTTGGAGGCCTCCTGGGCAGTCTGGACGACGTGAAGGCGTTTTGGACCGATCGTGTGGCGATTGGGTGCCCTTTTGAACCGTCTCGGGGGCCCTTTTTGGGGGACTCGTGGCCTGTCTCGGTATTTTGAGGCCGCGGACCCCCAGTGGGGAATTCGTATCTGACCCCCCCAACCCCCCCTGGGAACCCCCCTCCCTGCCCCCCCTCGGACCCCCTTCCATTCGACTCGATTACGACATTGCTAGATTCTTTTCTCGCTAACTGGCTTGATGAGGAGGGTGCAAGGAAAGTGGGGACGGATACGACGACGGACGGAGGCGATGATTAGAACGGACAAGCCCCCCCACGCACACGCCGGCAGGGTCGGCGGATTTTTCACGTAGGAGTGGACAAACGTGTTGTTGCTTTATTTGGGAGCTTTACAGGCCGATGGTTTTCGGTGTTTCAAAATGGCGCTCCCGCTACAGCGTGGGCCTCAGTTTCGGATCTGCGCGTTGCTCCTGTCGTTCAGATTGGCGTGTTTGCCCCACCGCGGGCAACTTTTCTGAATCCGAGTCCTTCCTCATCGTCGTCGCCCCCATTGCGTTTTCCCCTGGTCCTCCTGCTCCTCCCGCTCCGTCACTCCAGTTCCCGCTGCTGCTGTTCGTCCTCGTCCCCTCCTCACTCATCATCCGCATCCTGTTCCGCCTGGTCAGCTCCCCCTCTCCGATTGCGCATAGCACGATGGGGTCTGGTTTGAGGGTTCCAGGTTCGCTATGACCCACGATCGCGGATAGAGAAAACAAGCATCGCAGTGCGAACGGAAGGGACGGGTGGGAGTGATATAGTGTCAGATATGGCGCAAGCGCACTTGGCTTGTCACACCCCTCTTCCCTCCCCTCCTCCCCCTCCTCCGTCTCCCCCCCTCCTCCTCCTCCTCCTCCTCCTCCTCCTCCTCCTCCTCCTCCTCCTCCTCCTCATCATCATTCGACCTCGTTTCCCCTCGACGTCATCTCCTCCTCCCCGACGCTCCGATCAATGGCCGCGGCCCGCAGGGAACAAGTACACCGAGGAGGTGAAGAAGATCGCGGCCGAGACGGGCGACGGCGCCGTCATCGTATCCGCTGCGATGGAGGCCGAGATGCAGGAGATGGACGAGGACCGCGGTCATCATGGGGAGGAGGAGGAGGATCCAGATGTTTGTTCGGACGGTCTTACCCTTTGGGCCGTGGACGCCTCTGAGGACCCCTGGGGCCTTGCAGGGACCTCTGGAGTGCTCCAGGGGCCGCCGAGATGTACGAGGACCGCGCTCGTTCACATCCATCGCAGGACGCACAGCGACACGGCGGGCTGCATTCATCGTGCCATGGGGGAATTTGGCTCTAACACACAGAGCAGGAAGCGCGCTGAGCCACAGCAGCGCCTCCCCACCAGCCGTGTTCGGTCGAGCAGATCGGATACGCAGGCACCCTGACTGCAGATGGGGTCTGGGCTTCTGTTGAGGACCGAGCGTCCGATGACAACGGCGATGACGTCGGTGATTCGAAGCTTGCTCGGGTGCTCTTGGGAAGCCCATGGAAGCAGGGAGGCATTGGAGTTCGATGTTAATGGGGTGTGGTCGCTCCCCGCCAGCCCACCTCCGCCCCGTCATGGTCCCCTCCACCGTTTTCCCAGGGGAGGCCAAGCGTACCCAAGAACAGCCGAACTGATTCCTTTTCATCCTCCTCCTCCTCCTCCGTCTCCTCCCCCTCCTCCTCCTCCTCCTCCTCCTCCTCCTCCTCCTCCTCCTCCTCCTCCTCTTCCTCCTCCTCTTCCTCCTCCCCCTCCTCCTCCTCCTCCTCCTCCTCCTCCTCCTCCTCCTCCTCCTCCTGTGTTTTGGAATGTTCCGCCAATTCCTCCTCCTGCCCCTCTCTCCTCCATCCTCGGAGTCATGGCGTCACGTTGTTGGTCCAGGCTGCTGCCTGGAGAGCCCGAGGCCGACGATGGCCCTGCTGCCCCAGAGCGTTCTGTCGGAGCGCCCAGTCGCCCCTCTCCCCTCGCTGCTGCTCCTTCTCGTCCCCATGCTCCTCCTCGGTTCTCCTCCCTCCTCGAGCTCGTGGTGCCACTTCGCCTGCCCAGGCGACTGGCTGCCCGAGGCCCACGGTGGCACTCCTGCCCTGGAGAGTCCTGTGGGAGCGTGCAGTCGTTCCGCTCCTCCTCCTTCTCCTCCTCCTCCTCCTCCTCCTCCTCCTCCTCCTCCCTCCTCCTCCTCCTCCTCCTCTCCCCTCTTCCCTCCTCCCTACTTTGGTTGGTGGCATTGGGATGCCAGCCGAATGCCCGCGCTGCGTGACGCCCTCAAGGGCCGCGGTTGGCCGACCTCAGGTTCTCTTCCTGGGCGTGCTCATCGCTCATCCGCCTCCATGGGTCGCACCACGCTTTGCGATGTAGCTTCCATGAGGCTGGCGTTCGCCTGCCACGCGCAAGCCTTCGTCTAAAGATCATTACGCGCAGGGGCTCTACACTCACCTACTCATGCTGGCATATGTGGGCCGGGCGGGGATGCAGCCGCGATCTTGCCTCACAGCGTCGCTCCAGGAGCTTCCTTCAACTGCATGTGTTGTTGTTCCTCTCTCTCTCTCTTGTGGTTTGTTGTTGTTGTTGCTGTTGCTGTTGTGTGTGTGTGTCCCTCTCTCTCTCATTGGTCCCCGTCACTTCCTATATATATATATATATATATATATATATATATATACCCACCGGTCGTTGAAAGTAGGTATTTTTGGATTCCCAGATCCCAATCTACTTTAAGCGCCTTCCTATTTCAAGAATCTATATTTTTTGTTTTTTGGGGGGGCGGGCGCAAACCTAATCTACTTCTAGGGTTTGGTTGTCACTTCCCTGGGCGACGCTGGTCGCTCGGCCCC